TGTTGCTGCGGCAAAGACCATCTGCCAAAATAAAAATAGGTGCCAGTTTCAAATACTCGTTTTTAATATTAAATAGGTAACGCTTTGTATCAAAATAACATTATTATAGCCTATAGACGCTATAGGTGGCAAAAATATATTTTTCGCTCAAAAATCCAAAAATGGCGGTCATTGAATAGGTTGGGCAACTTTAATGACAAAAGCGCTTTCGGAAAAAGGTGGCAAAGGTTATCATATTAGCTTTTCGCCTTTTACTCTCTAATGAAAATTATGATAAAACTGATGACCCCTTAATGATGTTTTTTTTCTTGGATTAAAGTCACGTGGCCAGTAGCAACCATAAGAGTGACGAATATTGAGAATGGATGGTGTTTTCATTGATTTAAAAGGATATATGCACTAGAGGTTTAAACATTATCGTTTAAAGAAAAACAACGAGATTAAAAAATTCCAAAAAAATCTAACAACTGTGCCTTTCATTTCTGTAAGTCTATAACACTTACCGATCTAAAGAGTATTTTTCTGGAGCACATAAAACTGGTTTTTAATGGCAAACAGACGAAAAGAAACCTGTCGAGTGTTATGACGAAGATGAGAACTGCAGACCAGTCGGATGTAAAAATGTTTGCAAAGGCTGAAATGTTACAAACAACACTTGATTCCCAGTTAACTGTTATGTTGGTCTCTATCGCCAGTACGCACTCACTCACTGCACTTAGGCAGTGCGCTATACCAAGGGTACAAGACAAGAATGACTTGGTTTCTGATCTTCCTTTGAGTCTTCTTTCGCCTCTTACAACAACAACAATGAGGATGATGTTGCTCAAAAGGGACACTGGGCAGAGGACATAAACAGTATATATGTAAACATTTGACGCCGTAATAACTTTATCCACGTTCAAAAACAAACCTTTGGTAAACCATATGAAGCAGTCTAAAGGATCGCTTTTTACAACCATGCGCGGTTTTATCTTTTCCACATCCATTGGACATACGCGCTTTGCTATTTCCCACGTGTTATTTAAAACTTCTACCGGAAGTGCATGGGGTCGGAAAGGGCAGATGTGATCTGAACCTTGCTGAACGCAGAGATACAACTTACTGCTGGTTTCTTCATCTCCTTGTGTAATACCAGCCAGGCACTCTTCTTCGCTCATCCCGTATAGCAACCTGGGCGTGAAAAGCTCTTCTGACAGCTCGACGATTCCGCAATACTCAGAATATGTACCGTTAGAGAACCAAGAGTCAGTCTTGCGAAAACTGTCTGTTAGTCCACCCAAAACCCTTGGTGAGCAATAGAAATATCTGTTTTCAAAGGCACTTTTTAAAACTGAGGTATCATGATCTAAATTTACATGAAGATTTCGAGGTGACGCTTCGATGCACACATACTTGCTAGCTGTAGAGTTTTTACCTCGTGTAAGGTTACGGTGGCCACTTGAAATGTATTTCTGCTCATTATCGGTTTCGAAGACGATTTGAGACATGCGCTTAAGGCCATCTAGTATCAGCCCGTCGACTGTTTTCTTGAAGTCAACAAAAGTGCTTCTTTTTGCGCTGTCTTTCAGCTGAGTGCAATTGTCCCCTTCAACTCCTGTTAATATAATAGCTTCACGCCTCGTGCCCAACGTACTAATGTTATGAAAGGGACAAGATGAATCCATAATTTTCAGGACTTCCCTTGTCTCGGCTGGCAGTCCGAATGTTGCGGTCATTTGGTCGAATAATTGCCTCGTAAGGTTAATGTGACACTCAGAGAGAACTTGAATCTTACCCACTCTTCGCGAAACAGGATTTTCAGTAAACAAGTTTCTTAACTGAAACAATGTGAGCTGCATAATACAAATAGGAATAATGTAGAACACCATGATTTTGACTTGGAAATAAACGTAGAATTTCCTATGAATTGTTGAAGAGTAAGACAAAGTGTGCTTTATTTATATTAGGCATGAATAATTGCTTTAAAGACATTTTCATTGGCAGATGCCGTAAGCCTATCACCAGTTCTTAAAGAGCAGTTAACGTTATTCAATATCACATGTTGAACGATTGAATGGTTGCTCCTGTCTTTTTCATGTCATGCGAGTTAAAGTTGCTAGAAAACCGCGTTGGAAGTATTGAAGATTTTTGAAGTATTGAAGATTTTTGAAGTATACAGGAGAAAGTAAACAGCTGAAGTCTACGGCTGTAAAAATACCATTTTTCAATTCGCTAATTTTCATTAAAATACGTTCCTTTTAGGTAAGTAGGAAAACAAGAATATTTTTAAACATACCTATTTGTTTACATGATCATGCATTACTTTATCATTCATTCTCACTACATGTAGGTCCACTTAAAGCAAACAGAAAATCGATAAATGAATTTAAAGATAAAGGCGTGCTTTCTACCTTTTCTAAATCTCCGATGACATAAAGTGATAAATCTAGGATTGTTTTTATAAATCATTAAAAATGTTATAAAATTCACGCCTTGCTATAATGGGGACGAAGCAACGAAGGTTTAACTTATTTTGGTGACAAAAGTTTTAAAAACAACTCTTTTGGATAACATTCGGACGTTATTAATACTAACAAAAATTAGACTGCGCTAGAAGGGGATTAGGATGCACTTTTATTTTACCGACACGTTTGTCCTCCACCTCAAATATGTTTTTTCACAATGCCTGTTTCGTATAAAACATTTGACTGGGTCTTATCACCATATTCTCTGGCTAGTAATGGATAAAACTAAATTGAGGATTTTATCAATGGCTAAAATATTACAAAAAACATCAAGCAACTAAAAATAAGGACATGCGCCAAAAGACGTAGATAAGTTTTTTTTAATTATTGAAAAACCAGGCGAGTACGCCATACTAATCTAATATAGATGTACTTCTCAGAATTGATCATTACTGATTGAAATTATGAATCTGAAGATGCAACTTGCAGACAGTATGTCTTTTTATTTTTGCACGTAAAAAATTATTTTATGATACTTATATTACCCAAAAATTTGGCAAATGGCATATAAAGCTGCACTGCATATATGCTTAGAAAAAAAGAGAAAAAAAAGCATAACTTTGTCCGATCAAGCAGATTTTCGAACGCTGTATAACATGAATATTTGTCAGTTCTGCAGGTTTTAAGACAACGGCAATCTGCTAAGAACTGTAAAGTTCTCCTGTATTAATTGCGTGATACGACACAGCCCACTTTTGTTAATTGACCTGTTTTGTATCGTACTGTGAAAACACGGTTATTTTAGTATCAAATATTGCTTATTTCACGTCACACCAATCATGCAACAGTTTCCAGCTTCCTTTGAGCGTGACTCGGTGGTTTTGGGTAGGGTGTGCCTTTCTGATTAAGGAAACGTTTATAGGAAAATTAGTTTTTGCTATATAAAAGTAAAACGCTAGGTTGTACCATTTAGTCATCTGATTACCTGCTTTGTGAATCATCTTAAAATGATATCATTTTCGTGTTGAAGTGTGATTTTGAAACATTTCAAAACTTTTACACATTGGCGAAAGAAATATTTCATAAAAATTCCACGAGCTGGCAACACATACAGGCATACTGCTTTACACTATAAATATTGAGTGGTTACATATAGCTGAGTACAATTTATATATTATTTTGGCCACATTTGCCAGGAGATGAAATACAATGACTCAATGTTGTTTACAACAAACAGCACTCTTTCATTCGATCTAGCCCAGGGGCGGATCCAGGATTATTTGAAGGGGGAATCCAGTGTTTTTTAAGAATGGCAGGCCTCGGATGCGAAGCCGACCCTTGCCCTCTTGATGTGGGGTTCAGTGTTTTGGAGGGCAAACGTCGCCATTTGGTGCAGTATAGAACTATGATTCAGCTCTTCAAAATTCTAATCTAGAGGGGAATGTTGCAGTGTTTCTTTCCAGAATCCGAAGGGGGGGTGTGGTCAGGACCCTCCTGACAATTTCCCTAACTTCGCCGCTGTGGCCTGTCTGTTTTACGCATGACAATTACAGCATATGCATGGGAAGAAAAATGGAAAAACGAATCTCAAAAAGTTGTGTATCTCACAGTTCTTGCAGGGCAGCGGACTAACAGATCCACGGATCAAATATGGCAGACCCACTAGAATGCTTGTTGCGTATTCCCCGCTGGAAGTCTATTCAGCGTCTTTTCGGGAATTTAGCGACAACTACTTGATCCGCGGATCTGTTAGTCCGCTGTTCTGAATTCGCTCTAAGGTAAACGAGTTTCTGTACACGGTAAACATAAACTCATAATATCCCATCATTATTTCCACGGAAGCTGCATGCATAATGGGTAATATTCAAGATCTCTCCGGGTATCACTTTAAGGTATAGGCCCCATTCAGAAAATGTGACTCACTAACTAGTCCGAGGGTCAAATATGGCCGACCCACTTGAATATTTCCCCACGGGTTGTTTATTCAGTGTCTATTAGCGGATTACAGGGCAAGCTTTATAGTGGATCGACATATTTGACCCTCGGACTAGGAATAGTTAGTCCCCTATTTGAATGGAGCCTTACATGAGTGGCCTAACCCCGGTCGCATTCACAACAGATGATCAATGGATCTACTCCATACTCGCCTTACCTAGAGGTGCCTAGCAATTAAACCTCGAAGCCGAAATGTAATCCGTGTGGATGCGAGGAAACCATTACAGGATTAGGCGGTCTTGCTTTCATTTAGGGCCCGCCATATTTGATCCGCGGACTAGTAGATCAGAGGATCATCTGTTGTGAATGCGACCTTAATATTCTCAGACTGACTGCCCTGACAGCATGCATCTGATCGATGCATGAAATATCAGATGACAGTATACCCTGGGGGGAATGAATGTTATAACATTATATGTTTTACTCATTTGAAATACCACATTTTTTTTCTCTTTTCTTTTTTATTTACGCAAATATTCGAAAACATGCTTTATTTCACTGATGGCCAACACACGATTGGGTGTAATGGAAGTTAAATGTTTCCATCTTCTATCTGTTCAGGCATAACATTGTTCGCGGTAGGTATAGGTGACCAGGTGAATGAGACCCTCCTGTCCACTCTGGCGTCCATTCCGTCGGACAGACACCTCTTGACCGCGGCGGACTTTGACGGCTTGTTCCACTTGGCTGACTCTCTCGCAAATCGCATCAACGCAGGTATGATATGCTACCATAGAATTTTCCACTAGATGTTGACAGATACCTTTCCGCTGGATAATTCTGTACAAATTTTCTTAACTTCCAAGCGTGAAATGTTCACAAAAAAAAATAAGCTAGGGATGTGATAAGCAGGCCTACCCAACTACCAGACTCGGCACCGAATGATCCTGGGCTCGGAATCTCGAAAGGTTCGCTATGTTGCGCACACGCTCTAGCATGGCTAGCGTGCGCTATCCCGTATCTCGAAAGAATCGCTATTTTGAGCGCCTGCGCTAGCATGGCTAGCGTGCGCTATCCCGTATCTCGAAAGCTTCGCAAATCCCGGCCGTGCGCTAATGTCCAAATCGCCATTAGTTTCGAGGCTATTATTTGCGGCGATACAAACTAGTCGCAAAGGCCTCTGCGAATGCAAAATTCGTCATTTTGATGTGTCTTATATGTAATTAAACATGGTGGCAAGTTTGGGTTGCTAGTCATAATAGCATATAATAAAACATATAACAAAAACATGGAAGCTTTTAATTGATTGAATCACTGGTACCTCTGATAGAAAAACTTGCGGTAAATATTCAAGTGAAGAATGCCAAAGTCATGTTTTATTATGCAGAAAATTTCAAAATTAAACATTTCATACATCATTTTATATTTTCTGGTGCATTTCATTCATCTGTGTAGTCTATTGATAATAATAATAAATTTAAAAGTGTCATTTTCCACACAAAATGAAAAAGCAGAAACAAAGCATTCGGTCGCACCGTCACCTTCCTCAATGTCTATTATTGTGAGACTGAACACTACTCACCAGTGTGTCAGTAATTGTGTCAGTCCAAGCTTCGCTTATTGAATTGTTTTTTGACATTTTATTGGTGTCAAATACTTTAAATATCAGTATTTGTTATTATGATATTCCTATAAATTAAAACAACCTCTTGATTTGCGTCATGGTGAAAAAAATTGCATTTTGTGTAATTGTGTTATGACGTCTTCACTTTATTCGGCAATCGAATATTAGTAGAGTTTGAGGTTATAATTGCGTTGCGTCTGCTAAGGCTTCGAGATAGCAGGTGGGTGCAATCGTACTAGCAAATAGCGCACGCTAGCTATGCTATAGCGCGTGCGCAACATAGCGAACCTTTCGAGATTCCGAGCCCTGATCATCGGTAGATCAGACCACACTACCCGTTTTCAAGGTGTGAGTCAGTACGCATTATACAGTATCATACCCTGAACAAATTTTGAGTGGTGATACAATGCTTTTACAACCCCGCTGAGAATCGTCACTATCACATCGCGTACTAGGCAAGAGCGGTGTCGCGTCTGATACTGTGAAATGCGTACTGATACAGAGCTTGAAAACGGGTAGTGTGGTCCGATTTACCGGTGAATTCAGGATCATTCGGTGCCGAGTCTGGTAGTTGGGTAGGCCTGTAGTAAGGCATGCAGCCAGCTTTTTCAAAAGTTTCGTTTTCGGAAAAAAGGGGATCCCTGTACCCAATTTGACCCAATTTGGGAAATGGCATAGAAACTAGAACAAAAGTTGATCCAGAACGTTGTCGATGTTTAAGAAGTTGAATGAAGTGTCGATTATACACAGGCCTACCCAACTACCAGATGTGATAGTGACGATTCTCAGCGGGGTTGAAAAGCATTGCATCACCACTCAAAATTTGTTCGGGGTATGATACTGTGAAATGCGCACTGACTCACACCTTGAAAACGGGTAGTGTGGTTCGATCTACCGGTAAATTTGGGATCATTCGGTGCCGAGTCTGGTAGGTGGGTAGGCCTGACACAACAGAGCTGAATTTTTCAAAGATGGACTGTCCACTTGCCCATGCCTTTTCCGAACCTGCTTCGGAAGTTTTCGTTTTGCCTCGATAAACCATTCATCCCATCTGCATGCATATTTCTTTACTTATCGTTTACACGTTTTCTAACACAAAAAGGTCATTTTTATCAACTTTTTGTTTCGACTTGTTTTATTCACAATGCATTCACAAGGCAATTTGAGTCACGCCCCACGTATCTCTTTCCAGATTTTTCTGGTCATTGCCCGGCATCCTGGATAGAAATACGAGGGCGTTGTCTGCTACCCTCTGAGAACGAAGTCAGTTACGAAAAGGCACGAACCGAGTGCGCGTCACGCCATGAGCGGGGATCTTTAGCTACAGCAAGCAACAAAATACTTTATAAGGACTTGACGAAGCGACTTGTCTATCCGCTTACAGGATACGAGTTCTCTTATTACATTGGTGAGTCTGGGTCTGCTGGGGCAATATTAATGATGCCAAAAATTTACACTTTAAAGCAAAATGAGCGAATATTTACGTCTGAAGAGTCTGCAGGTGGAAGGGGCGGAAGCTTACCTTGACTACTTGTGCAATTTCTGTGGATTACTTTGAACATTTTAATAGAGATTTCTGCCAACACGTCGAGAATGACAACCGTACTCGAAGGGTCGGTGGAAGAATGGCAAAGCATTTTGCCAGGCTGACCGAAATTTTAAAATTTTAAATTGGTCTGCCGTACCTCATGCACTTAGAAAACGCACCTAGTAAAAGTGGCTTGGAAGAGTGGACAGCATCGTTGTAAGGTTAATAATTTATCGTCAGAATAATCAAATTCGTTTTCATAGTTTATTTGAAAAAAATGGCCACATCCCCTTTTTGCTACTGGAGCTTTTACCGCACTGCATACCCATTTTAGTCGAGATAGAACAGCGTGTGATGTATATCAAACAGAAAATAAGAGAGAAAAACAAAGAGTTTAATTGATTCATTGTTCAAGTATCGACGTTCCCGCTCTATTAAAATGCAGAAAGAAAATTAAAATTTATTGAAATCCTATTATAACCTTGGCTTCTTTTCCCCTAGGATTGGATGACAAAGCTGAAAAGGGCGTGTACGTCTTCAGTGACGGCATTACGATTGATGGAAATTATTCAGAGTGGATTCCATACATCAAGCCGTATAATAAAGAAGGTCCCGGATGTGTTTGCCTTGACAACAACGAGGCGTTTATGTGGAGAGTGACAGATTGTATGGAGAGAAAGCGATATATATGTGAAATTATAACTGGGATGTTAATATTGTAACACAACATTATTTTTAACGAGATATATTTAAGTCATGTAATTGATTAATCGCACAACTTGCTTTATTCGGGCACTGATAATTTCCCAGAATTCTTCGGACTCTGATGATTTCCCAGGATACTTCGGGCACTGATAATTTCCCAGGATTCTCATAAAACTCATTGCATATTTTTATTTCCTTTTATCGAGATTACTGAAACAGAAAACAACCCTCATTTTTTTCTTCATAAAGTAGCATAATTCTTTATTTCGTAATAAAAGTATTTAGGTAGCCAAATGTTCAAAAGCACAACGAGGATACTCTTGAGTAAATTGGAGGAAAGCCTGGAAAGGTCTGGGCCTGGTTTCACAAAAAAATTTAGTCAGGTTCCCTGTCCAAGAACTTATTTACCAAGGTTACATGGTCACGTGGGCATATCTTACCCTATCAGGAGCAAAGTAACAGCACTTCTCTGGAAATCCTATTCGACTAAGCCAAGGAACTGACTAAAGGGTATTGTTACCCTTTTTTATCATCCAGATTCCGAAAATGAGGTTCTTCTACATTTAATTATTAAATAAGGCATCTTTCTTTGTTCTGGGATAAAACAAAAAAAAAACATCGAAAAATATAAAATATAAGCGTTTATATTTCTCGTTGGAATGTATAAGCATAGACAAATCAAAGCTTTAATCGTCAATTTAACACCTTTCTGTTGTGAGATAAAAGCAATCGGTAAGGGGCGTAGCTTCATCCCTGAACTAGATTTTATCACAAAAATTGGCATAGTGTACCCTGAGTGTATGGGCTACAATCCAATGCTGTCAGTTTGGTTAAATGTTTTTGTTATATATATAGTTATGGGAAACTGATTACAGATTTTAATTAAGCAAAGGCATTATTTTGCTTTATCAACGATAAAATCTGAAGACTTTTAAGAAAAATTGCTATCAGGGTTTTGTAGTATTAAATGGTGTCATCAAATCGGCGTTAAAAGGGTGCTCGTGTGTACTCAGGTGAAAGAGAAATCTGATAAACCGATTTTTTTCAGTTTTTATCCCAAAATCGCAATTATGACGTCACACGTAAGGTGACATAATGATATTTATAAATGTTAAATGATTTAGTCACTGAACACTGGAGATTTATCTATTATCGAAAAGAATGTATGTAAGGCAGTTATTGTAGACGACGTTAAGCATAAAATGTCTGAATCCTTTATTATTTATACAGACAGCACAATTTGTAACAATTCCGTTAGCACAATAGAAACCGTGACACGTTTGTTCTTTGTGTACTTTGGACTTTTTGTGCAAATCTAAAAAAAATGAAAAAATTACGTAAGTATGCGATAAATAATAAACTCAAAGAAACTAATAGAAACAAACTACAATATATGCGTTAAACTAAAAAATACATTTTACAATTACTCACATTATATGCTATCTACGGTTCCAAACACAGGTGACCGACCGGTATGCTTGCTACTTGTCTACTAAATTCTCTCGAGATTTCTATACCATCCACACCCAAAACCACGTGACTGATTACTGTTCAGCTAACTAAGAGTGACCACAGGGTCATGTGACTTGGCGCACTAACAGCAGTAAATAAGGAGTTTTGGGCGAAGGGTGACGATATCCTTATTTATTTATTTATTTATTTTTTGTGAAACTGGGGCCTGATGTCATATTGCTTTCAATTTGAATTTAAAAAAAGCATTTGATCTTCAAGTTCCATTTGAATTACAATAAATCACTGCATTTTTATCATTAAATTATAATAATTATATATAAGGAAAAGGCAGCATGCCCACAGTTTAATGATGGAACATTCATACTTTAGATCCCCCTTCCCCAAAAAGAGAATAGTGCTGGTAAAAATTGTTTATTCCACCACGAGAACCTTACAACTAACAATGAGTTAATCGCTGACATTCATTTTTTGTGCATAGACACTATTAAAGGTATTCTGTCTGAGAAAATTAATTTTCTCCCTGTACTTGAATTCGATGCTTTCCGTCATTTCCGACACCGTAAAGTGAACTCCTTAAGTACCGTATTAATATAAATGTCAGCTAATGTATAATGCTCGAAGGTTTTCTCCTTTATAAGGTCTGAATAGAAAAAGGTGATTGGTTTTGCATGATGTGTAGGCATAGAGTCAGGGACACTCTTAAACTCGGAAGTACACCTTTTTAAATATATTAAAATATATACTTTGGTGCGGTGCACGATGTTTTCAATTTGAACTTCTGTCAAAGCATGAACACATTTAAATATAACACTCGAAACTGTTACGTTTTTATACATTTTTTCTGAAAGATAATTCTAAAATGCGGTGAATTATATGAAATTTGTAGACTTGTGTATAGTAAAACAGTGCTACTTGTACATGTACACTGATGATTATACTTCACTATATATAAAAATGAAAATAAAGAGCGACTTTGACCAATGTTAATAATAAGCTAAACAACTAATAATCTTTAACTAAATTATTTGGAGAAACTGCACACTGAAGAGATTGGTCTTGCTGTTTAGACCAAAAACATAGCCTACTTTTATCCAGGGTGGTTTTACAGTAGTCCACTGAAATAAAATGAGTGTTGGATTTGCCATGCAGTTACTCTTTCTTTCTTGTCATAAAACAGATACTTTTTACTGGTATACTGCTGAATTATCTTTGGTCAAACACACTCAGATGTGTTCTAAATGAAACATTTATACTAACTTTCGAACACAAGTTCGTCTGTGGAATGGTCCCCAATACAGTTCCACTAAAAACACTTTCGTCTCTGACCGCAGGGCGGAATTTTCCGTTTCTCCAGGGAAAATTTCACCGTGTATAAAACCTTAACAATATCGACATCTAACCATTTGTTGTGATCGAGTCTGTCAGAGTTAACAGACGAAACAGTCAACAAGTAAATCAAATATTGTGGATCTATCATAAATGAAATCTTTTCAACTATCAAAATTACTTAATTTCGCTCCAAGCCAACATGCGATCATTCGGTCCGTCTGAGGTATTTGGTTTCTGTACTCACATCCTTCACACGCGATTGAAAGCTGTAACTATATTTCACAGAAATCTCTTATCCAGTCAGTAAGAGCTTTGGACATGCGAGCTCTTCTCTCATGTGACTTGATCATACTATCGATTTCATGATTTGATCACGATCTACCTATACTGATTATATAATGATGATGTTTGCTTAATACGAAATGGAAGTTCTTCTGTCTTTCTGAGACAAAACCCAGTGACCAATGCCCTAGAGTGACTAAAGAAGTTCTAATATTACCCCCTACCAGGGCTACAGATTGATTTTTTTCACTAGATTTTCACAAACAATGTCTCTGCCTAAATATGGTCAATCTTCTAACTGAGGAAAAATCCGCCACTGAGTCATGTGAAAACGGTGAAAAGTTTAAACTATTTAAATGGCGTGATTTCCCACACAGTATGGATTACAACATTAATGTAAGTTACAGTAATTCAAATACAGTACGCTATAAGGTACATAAACTATAGAGACATGCACTCACGCATCTCGGAAAATAAAGAGCACCATTCACGGGTAACAAAAAATACCCAATGGGACCCTCGTACAGGAGATAATGTGATCTTGATTAATAGAGAGTAATTAACGATTGCACATCAAGTTGTTCTGGGGATTTAATCTCTAAATTCATTTTTACATGTTCTGGTATCAGTCAATTTAAGGCAAAATTCACTTCAATCTGAAAAAGATAAATCCACTGGTAAAAATAATAAGATCAATAAACCAAGGAATTGGGTAATCTTTTATAATAAAAAATTCGAATAATCACTATATTGGGTCAAAAAGTATTATATATTAAGTTATATATAGCTAGTTAATGGCATGTTAAAACAAATGAATTACACTTCCTCATATATTACATTGAATTTTTACTGAGGTTAGACTTGTGACCAAGGTCGAGCAGTGCTACATCAAGTGACGTGCTGGTCGGTGTCACGAAACTGAGGGTCCGTGTAACAGAAAGTCCGCCCTCCATAGTTATAATGGTTAGGGTTAGCCTGACCTAAATGGGTCAAGATATAGGGCGAGGCTTACCTGTACAAATGGACAGGAAGCGGACTCTCCATCATGGGGGTCTCTCTGTCACGTTACGCCGGCCCTAAGTTCGTGAGCTGGTTGTGCTAGGAAAAAATAACATCTTGAACTGTGACCTAAATTCCGAACCACTGATCAGAAGCACCAGTAAACTGAACACGTGGTACAACGACTCGGAGATTCTACCAATATAAAAGATGTAGGTGACATACCAAGGAAATTCTTCTGTAAATATATATGACGTTATCACCATACAAATAACAGATGCTGTGCACATAATTAGAAAAGTTATAGACAAGCCTAACAGAGAAACAGTACTAATTATTTCTTTAACCTTTTTCTCACCCCCTCTTCCAGATGTCAGTTCTTTTCGAATTTTTCTTTGAGCCCAGATAAAGTGTATTATCCTTATGTTCATCCCAGTAATGGTGAGTAACATCATGGCTCTTCCAGTGATCCGTATTGCTGATACAATCCCTAAACGCCTTTGCCATTCCTGGTATTCCTGAACAGATACCTCACAAGGGGCATCGGTGTAGATTAAGCTTGCAAAGGCCACGGCTCCAGATGCTGCTGCTGCGGAAAAGACCATCTACGAAAACGGAAAGCATTAGTTTAAGATACTGGTTTATAAAATTAGGGAGGTGACGCTTTGTATCAGAATAACATGATGATAGATTATAGACGCTAGATGGCAAGTATCATTTTCGCTGAAAATCCTAAATGGCCGCCATTGAATAGGATGGGTCACTATGTCAATAGCGCTTTCGGAAAAAAATAATAAAAAATGATGATAAAGAGCTTTCACTCCCTCATGACGTGTGATGGCAAAGGTAAATCNTGTACAAGGTGCGCATATAAAAAGGCCGTATGAAGCGTGCATTGCTTTCTGTCAAACTAAAAAGGTGGCCGAAGCACAGAAATGCGTAAACTGTAGGCAAGAAACAGCTATTTGGACGGAGAATCAAGCAATTAAATATTTTCTTTCTCAGTTTAAATACGATGCGCTTTACAACTAGACTTCACCTAAGCGTCCTAGCCTTGGCTGCACTTTCAATAGTGATTACGAACTAAAGCTTCGGAGTTCTTTTGAATGCTTCCGATAATAAAGATATGCGAAAGAGACTCGTTATTTTCTATATATAAATCAAAATAGCCAGTAGACTCGTACACAGATTTCAAGAGTGTGGACAGGTGCGCAGGCCTACGTCTTCACATTGAATTTTGTACATGTATATATGCAAGCTGTGGCGATATCACCTCATGTACCGGCAGTGTCAATTCATTACGATTTTTAAGTCTTGTTTGAAGGATATCTTAAGAGATTTTTAAAGTGATAAAATGAAAAGACTTCCTGCATTGTTTGACTCGTAGCTACTGTGTATACAGGTAAAACTGACACGCAGATCGTATGTCGGTGAACTGATTAAATCGTTTGGTACCTGATAAGGCATCAGGTGTTACTTGTTCAATTGTTCGGTTAGGCGGGCGGCCACAACTACGACCTTTCCTCTGTAATTAAAACCTTTTAAGTGTTAAATAGGTGAGACAGGAATTCTCGACTCTTTCCCAGACGATAATTAAAGTTTACCATGTCTTACGTACTCTAGTATATGAACAAAATTAACGACAGGTAAAAAATGTCAGCCATTTGGTCTGATAAGTATGAAAATTTTGTCAAACTGAAGCAAAAACAAAATTATAGCAAGAGGCCAAATTATTTGATTTTTAAATGTTTTCATGCGTATTTTCATCGTTTTCAATCACAGACAATTAAATCATTCAAATAAAGTGTTTCCCACACATTTCATACTTTTCAACTATCTAAGACAGTTAAATATACGTAGGCCTACTTTAATACTAAGCATATTTGTATTACTTTACAAATACATTGTTGGTTTATGTTTATTATCCATTTTGTCTTTACCATACATGTATTATGTACGTGTAGCTAATACCCCCTTTACACTAAGCGGCGTTCCTTCTGCGTCCTTTCTGCGACCATGAAATTTAGCATCGCTGTGGTCTAAATAAGGAGTCACGAGCATTGATTTTGTATCAGAGCGAATGCTCAATGATCGGTCAGTTATCGGCACGTAAAGTATTATAATTTTTTAACTCTCAAATGGGGGCCGTACTGCTGGACGCAGAAAGGACGCCGTCCAGTGTAAAGGGGGCCTTACAGAGAGGCTCTTCTGCATTTTTTGTATTTTCCAATGCTTTTGCCATTGAGTTCAGAAATAAATAACTTTTTATTTCGCCGATAACGCGTTCAACAAGAGCCGATGTACTTTCTTCTTCGTATGTCTCTGTTGATCTTGATAATATGAGCCCCGTTTGTACAAATCAGTAATACGTATACGGGACTGAATACATAATAATAATAATTTTATTAACGTCTCATGTTAAACAAAAATAGAACCCACCCTGTTAAGGGTTATTAGAGACTAAAACCTGTGATGGGCCTACAACATTTAAAATGATCACTTATCAATAAAACACACACAAAAAGGATATTACATACAAAACTTTTCAAACCTTCTCTTTGTTGTTACAAAAAAAGTCGTGAAAGTTCTT